GAAACTACAAAAGATGATGGTATTTGTTTCTTGCAATGCAACAATTTAGGTAGGCAAAATTAAAACTTTTAAAAGGTACACTTAAAAATGTACTCTAGGTGTCGGAGCATTGGAATAATTTGTAGAGTGACTTGTTTTTATATACTAAAAATATTTTAATTGCACACACATGATAGTTGAAGAACAAATACTGATAGTATTTCCCCCATCACCCTTGTTTTTGTAATGAGGTATTTTTGTCATCTTTTTGTGGAAGAAAAATGGAATTTTTACCATAGGAATACATGAGAGGATTATTATTATGGTTCTATAAGAAAGCAAGTGTAAATGGTATTAACGTAAATTTAAAAAACCCATGACAATTAAAAAGCAGCTCTTATCTTAATAATCTAGTGGGGTAAATGCAGGAAGGCTTCTTATCATGTGAAGTATTTAAGTCTTTTACATGCTGTAAATTAAACACATTTGTATGGTTTGTTTAACCACTTTTTCAAACTTTCACTCCTAAAATGCATAGTCTGTCTCTCGCTCAATCTCTCACTGCCTCCTGTCACATCAGCTCAGACATCTTTTTTTAGATTAATTTAAAAAATGGCAGTCTTTGTTGGGCAGGTATGGCTCGGGTCACTTATGGAAGTATTAAAACAGTGACTGGGATTTCTTAAAACAAGAATTACCCTTATTTAGTAAACAGGTTACTGTTCAAGGGGGTAGCATAACTTTAAAAAATATATGAAGACATAATGGTAGCAAAATAATTCAAAATAGAGATTACTTCTGGTTTTACTTGTACAAAACTGTACTGTAGAAGTTAGAGCAGAAAAGATTGAATACGTTGTTCAGTCTGATGTTTATATAGCTCTAGCTATTAATGCATTTTTTAGGAGAATACTCGAGTTCAATAATTTTAGAATTTGTTTAATATGTTTTCTCTTTCTTAACTTTGCCATAATATTCCGAGTTGCCTAACTTGGTGTGGGTCACTTAGCAATTCCCTTCATGCTCTGGCATTTATATCTCCTCAGTATTCATCGAAGAGATATAAATGCCAGAGTGAGAGTATAAATGTGAGAGTATTCCTACTTTATGACGGCAGCATGTGATGCAGGATGTATAGTGTAGGTAAGAACTGACTCTGTCCTACCAAAAAACAAAAGAAAGAGGGAAATTATTACAGTCTGTCTATCACCTGTGTTCTTCCATCTATTTGTTGTGTGCACCTTTTTCTGTATGTTTATATGGGGTTTAGTACAAGATAACAGGGGTTATATTACCAGAAAAATAATAAAAAGTACAATTGGAAATAGATGGTAAGTAGGTGTTGGGGGACAGGGCTTCCATAAAGGATAGTTACCTTAAACAAGCAGAAATTAAAATAAGGGGTTATGAGAAGTCTGGTTTTTTTGTTTTGTTTTTTTTTGGGGGGGGGGGGGGAGTTGCTGATTTTTAATTTTTTTTTTAGTTTATATAGTAATGGGAATAACTCAAACTTAATGTTGGCCGTGAGAAAAGTTAGGATTATCAAAGTCAGTTGGATGCCAGTAAATGAAATACTGATGTCCTTGAGCAACCTGGCAGTATTCCTGTTGAGTTGCAAGTTTTCCCAGAACTGCCTACTTGCAGCTTGTATGAGAAGCTTCTCTTTATTGAAACAAAATTCTGCATTGCTTTGGTAGGGATGTATTGTCTGTTGATTTGATTAGTAACTGTTGCAATGCAAGGAAATTCTCCTAGCTCTGATAGCTCTTCCTGGAGTTTACATTAATTGTAACTGATGTTAAACATTGTAACTAGGCGAGATCATAAATTGTGTTTGACCTGTTTGCTGACTGAATTCTTACCTTTTTTTAAAAAGAATAATATTTTATGAAATAGCCAGTTTTAAATGAATACAGTTTCAAATGCCAATTGTCATCCTATGACAGCATGCAGATTAGGAACCAACGGTTTGTGCTTGTTTATGTCAGCATCCTTAGTCAACCCCTACCATGCCACATGTGCCCCTATTTCGATGCCAGCATGTGATGCAGGATGTATAGACTTACACGGATGTTTTCTGACATAGGACTTAGAAGGGCTTTCCGGGTCATCAAGGCTAGTCCCCGGTGCACTGGCAACCATTTACCCAAAAACATCCTCTCTGATTACTTTTGTAAACCACAAACATGAAGCACCCTGAGAAAAATGTACCTTATAGTGTGCTACAAATGTGGACCACAGTGGAAAAGACGATGCTGCCAAACCTTGTCACTGCCACAGCAGGGAACTTGCTAGTTGAAAATATATTGAGGTGACTCTAGGAAGAAGACCATGCATGCCCTGGTCTACAGAGGAATGCAAAACAACCCATGGTCCTTTGTTAAACTTCCAGACCCCAAATCTGGTGATTGGTTTGACCCCAAGCATATGGGCAAGATTCTCCAGCCAGGTACCTGAGAAGTTTCTAAATACTGGGAGGACCAACATGAGTCCTTGGAGGAGCACTCATGAGTCCTTGACTTATGAGAAAAGATTGAGGGAACTGGGCTTATTTAGTCTAGAGAAAAGGAGACTGAGAGAGGGGACTTAATAGCAGCCTTCAACTATGTAAAGAGAGGTTCAAAAGAGGCTGGAGCTGGACTGTTCTTAGTGGGGGCAGATGTCAGGACAAGGAGCAATGGGCTCAAGTTGCAGCAAGGGAAGGTCAGGTTGGATATTAGGAAGGATGTTCTCACTAGGAGGGTGGTGAAGCACTGGGACAGGTTACCCAGAGAGGAGGTGGAAGCTCCATCCTCGGAGGTTTTGAAGACCCGGGTAGACAAATCCTTGGCTGGGATGGTGTAGTTGGGGCTGGTCCTGCTTTGAGCAGGGGGTTGGGCTAGATGTGACTGCCTGAGGTCCCTTCCAACTCTGACTTTTTATAATTCTGAGTCCCAGTCAAATTTCCACTGCTAGCTGTGGCCAATGTCCAGTGTTTTTAGAGGAAGGTGGAAAAAACTCCCAACAACCTAAAATGAATTCATACAAAGGGGGAAAATTTTCTTCCCAACTCCTGCAGGCTTCCAGTAGAAGCTCCAAAATGTTGGAGTACCAGACACCTCCCATGCAGAAGAGGTGTCTTTCTTTATATTTTATATATAAATCTCAAACATTGTTTGACCAGAAACATTAACTTAAATCTAAATGTAATGACCTGTAACATTCCATTTAACAGATAAGTTTTTAGATGCTCTGTCCTACAAAGCATGTTTTTGTGTGTTTTCCTGTCACATTTTCAGGATGGTACCACGGTTTACAGTTTGGATAGCTAATTGGAAAAATAGATATTTTAATCTGGTCAAACTAATCCTTTGCTTTTCTCCCTTTGTAACTAGAATGATCAGTCAACTGGAGATATAAAAGTAATTGGTGGGGATGATCTCTCAACCTTGACTGGAAAGGTATGTCTCTTACTGCATAACAAAAGAAGTAAGTGTCTACACATTTTTATGTTGCTCTATTATTTTTCTAACTCTGTGAATTTAGCAGCCCACAGCCTATGATCCTTTATATTCATGTGCATAGTGATAATGGTCTAGCTAATCAAGGTAAAGCAAAGTGGCAACCTTTGGCTTGCTTTTATGTTCTGATATGTTGGAAAGAACAGTTCTGTGTTTCCTGCCCATGACGGAGATTATGGCCAGTACTTAAGTTCACGCAGACTCTGTCTCCTATTACAAGGAGTATCTGTGTTTGTGGCATATGTCATACCTGCTTCTTTTAGACTGTGTTTATGGTCAGTAATTACTAAATATGCTGTAAGTATAAGTCGTGAAGTAGTTACTGTGATAATTTACAAGCAACCCCCGCTTAACACTGTTTCACTTAGCACTAGTTCACTATAACGCTCATTTGAAATTGATACTGATTTCACTTAGCGCTCAGCAAGTTTCATTATAACACTCGTGGTCGCCATCTTGGGTCATTAAAAACAATTGTGGTCTCCATCTTCTCATTAAATACTTTCGGTTTCGCTTAACACTCGTTTTGCTTAACGGTCTGTTGTTCAGGAACCAATTAAGAGCACTAAGCGGGGGTTGCCTCTACAGTGTTGATTTGTGACATTGCCAATATTAGTATTATTGTCATAGTAATAGTTCTGTAACTGAGCAGTTATATGGTGTCTGCACCAGTATTTTTTAAAGTGCCCAAAAGGAACAGTCTTGTATAGATTAGTTATCTTCACTATTTTATATTTGATAGTAAAGTGAAAGATAAACAAAATTTAACCAGCCATATAAAACCATGTAACAGGGGAGGGCAACGTTTTTTAGGTAGAGTGCCAAAAACACCCAAAACCTTGACTTTTAAGATGTTGGCATGCTAGGGGCGGATGTCTGGGGAGCTGTGAGGGGCCCGATCCTTGTGGCAGCGCAGCTCTGGCCCTTTCCCGCTGTCTGCCTTTTCATGCTACATTCTGGCATCACTGCCGTGGGGTTGCCTACTGCCATATAATAAAATATAATACCAGGCATATAATCAGTCTGTAAGACACACATTCCAGAGTATAATATAGAGGAGATACTAATGGCAGAATTCTGAACACCTAAAAAGTGCCATTGTGATAAGATATTTCATTAAAGCAAGCAAAACGTGTGTGGATTGTTTCTTGTTCTTATCATCAGGTGAGAACAAGCTTATGTTAGAAGTTTGCAGTCTAAAAATTTTACAGACCAATTAATATTCAGCATGTGGTAGACAGTTGTCCATGAAATTTGTCTGGCTATCGTATTAGAAATGTTAACCTAATATAATTTGCAAAGTGTAGCATAACACACACACATTGCTTGCAGGAAGTTTACAGATTTATTCAGGTTTTCAACTTTAGAAAATGTGCAACTATATAAATAGTGGTATAAACATTTCATCGCATTGCTAGCATAAGAGTTTATCAGCATTCTTTTCAACTAGATACTAATTGATTCTTATCTTTTTTTTTTCCCCCATAGAATGTCTTGATTGTAGAAGTAAGTATTATGCTTCACTTGGGATTTCTACTGTATGATTTTTCATAATGCTCTAGCGTGGGTTCACCCTGAATCTGAATGCTTCATGTTTTGTGGGGACAGGGAGGAGGCTTTGAAACCTGCATCCTGTCCTTATCTTACAAATAGCCCTTAACTTTTGTGATGAGCTGCACCCCCAGATTTAAGCAGATGCAAAATCCAGAGCTGAATTTTCAAGTTGGCCCTTTCTGCAATGATAACGTGCTAAGCTGTAGGAGGAAATGTCCTGGTACAATGTTCTGCTCTTTGTAGTTGTTCCTTCATTTTGCTGGGACCTAATTTAAGCATACGGCTTTGTATACAGGACACAGTTGAATTAAACACCTTTGTTCAGCATTGCAACTAAAGTACAAGAAATAAAAATGCTGTGGCTTTAGAGAAAACGATTCTTTATATCTTAAAATCATAAAATATTAAACTGTGCTCAGTGTCCCCATGCATAATTTCTGAGGTAAAAATAAAATGTCAGCTTATCTTTATTGTATAAATACTTTTGCCTTCCACAGTGGTTCATCGTATTCCTCTGGGTATTTACATGGAATCAGAGACAAATTAGGGCTGGAAGGGACCTCAGGTGTCAGGTAGTCCAGCCCAAGGCAGAATCAGCCCTTTCTAAACCATCCAGATGGATATTCATCTAACCTACACTTAAAAGCATCAAGTAGTGGAGGTTGCACAGCCTCTTTTTTTATGTAATATATTCCAGAGCTAAACCACCCTCAGAGTTAAGCCATTCTTCCTATATGTAAATTAAATCTATCTTGTTGTAAGTTAAGACCATTACTTCTGGTCCTGTCAGCTGTGAACACAGAAAGCAATCGATCACCATTCTCTTTATAACAGCTCTTTCGAAGACTGTCCATGCCTCCCCTCCTCCCCCCAGTCTTCTCTGTCCTTCGGTAAATAATCCCAGTTCTTCCATCCTTTCTGTGTATGTCTTGTTTTCTAGACCTCTAATCATTCTTGTCACTCTCCTCTGGAGTCTTGCCAATTTGTTCACATCTTTCATGAAGTGTAACGCTCGAAGCTGGACCCAGTCAGTCAGGTGAGGCCTCGCCAGTGCTAAATAGAGTGCAAGAATCGCTTCCTGTGTAACACATCCCAGGATGCTATTAGCCTTCTTTGCAACGTTACGCTCTTGACTCCTATGCAGTTTGCCTTCCACTGTAACCCATAGATTTTATTCTTTATTACTGCAACCTAGCCAATCATTCTTCATTTTCTACTTGTGCCTTTGATTGTTCCTTCTTAAGTGTAGTGCTTGGGACTCATCCTTTTATAAATTATTTCAGACAATTTTTCTAAAAGTATCAAGGCCATTTTGAATTGTAATTGTACCCTCTGAAATGCCCCCTGTTTTAGCTAGTTTGGTGTCATCTGCAAATGTAATGCATATATGCTCACTTCCATCCTTCAGGTCACTAATGAAGGTGTTGAACAATGCTGGACCCAGGACAGACCTGTGTAGACCCCCACTTCTGATGCTTCCTCCCAGTTAGATACTATGTTATTGATGACTACACTTTGAACACAATTCAGCAAGCAGTTATGCAACCTTCTTATTGTAGTTTAATTTAAACCATGTTTTCTTAGATAACTTATTAGGAGTTGACTTTCTTTAGGATGACTGTATAAGGACATGTCCTTATTTAAGACAAAGGATATCCCAACGTTTGCTCTTCTCCAGTCAGCTTGATGTAGAAGGAAATCAGGTTGGTCAGGCATGATTTGTTTTTGACAAATTTGTGTTGACTGTTTCTTTGTCTTTTTATCATCATCATCTTATCTTATCCATCATAAATAGACTCTTGGTGCTCCAGTATTTCTCTGTGTATCAGAGTTAGACTAGCAAGTCTGTGTACTTCCCTGCATCCTTCTTGTTTTCTTTTTTAAAACATGGAAACTATATTTGCCCTTTTCCAGTCTTCTGGGGCCTGACTTGACCTGTGTGGAATCGTGGCTCTGCAATTGCTTTAGCCATTTCCTTGAGTACTGTAGGATAGATCGCATCCAACCCTGCTGATCTGAAAACAGCTAACTTATCTAAGTGATCTCTAACATGTGCATCTCCTACTCTGGGCAGAATACCCTCACCTCTCCCCCTCCCCTTCCTGCACACACTTGGTGCCAGTTGTGTTCATCATCAAGCAGTTAACCCTTTTGGGGAAGAATACAATTCCATCTGCCTTGCTAGCTGATAGGGTAGTTCCTACATTGGTACCTCTCTTGATGAAACTTGTTCTTCTCCAGGAAATATTGTAATCGTTAATGTTTTGTAAATAGTGTTCTTGAATGAGGTTGATATTCATAGGGCAGAGAAGCAGTGGCAATATACAAGTAAACAGGATTAATTAAACAAGGCCTAAAGTTATATTAACTGGTCCATTTACATAAATAAATAAGTGATGGAGATTTCCAGATTCTCATCCCTCCAGGCAAAAGAGTGAGTGACACTTCCTTTTGTCACGCTAGACTTCCAGTATTGGGGACCTAAGTTTTTATGCAGTCATCGTGCTTTGATTCAAGAGGGCTCTAAGTTGTACAAAATATTCTCATGCTCCCACCACCCTAATATATATGTACAAGTTTTACTTCCTTCCTTTTGTTTGCACAAACATACTACAGCCACACATGATTAATGTCTCCTCTGAAGTGTATTTTACTTCAGACAGGCAGTGTGTTGAACTGTTTCTGTTCTGTTTCAAGTACAATTAAATCTTTCAAGTACCAGCTAAACAAATTAGTTTCTCATCCGTTCAGTGATTCATCTACATGGCAGATTCTTGTCAAATATGTGCCCAGTAACAGATCACCATTTTGGCTGTCAATCAAGAAATAAAATGAAGTTTGCTGTAGCACTGTCCTCTGGCGCACCACAGCACAGCGTTTCCTAAAATATCTCCTTGGCTAGGCAAAAAGTCTCTAGAAAACTGAGATTTGCCTCGGGTAACTACAGAATCAAACTGGCAGATCATAGATGGAGCTGATTTCTGTTTTGACTTTGGAAGATGTTGAAATGGAGACTTGGCAGCATTTCCTGTGTCTATGCGTCAGTCTAGGTAGTGTTCATACCCACAGCCTTTGCTTAGCCTTGGGTTAAGATCCGGGCTACTCAGATTTTTTACATTTTCAGACACAAGCTGGCATAACCTGCAAGTAGTTGAGGTGGTGTAGTGGGAAGTCATGTGAAGATAAGATTCAATAAGTCTTATCTGCTACTTTAAATTTGTATAGATTGGATTTTGGGTCAAGAAGAAGAATGTCCCTCTGACGGTTTGGTGTTAATCTAACCTGGAGTGGGAAATTCAAAGCAACTCTGATGCTTTGACTTGTAACCTGTATATTGATGATTTCCCATATGTCCTTGGAATTAAGAATGAGGTATCAGAACTGACTACATAATATGACTTTATATTGAAGTTGATCCTTACCATGGAATACTCAAATTACATATGTAATTTTTTTGACTCAAACTCGCATGTAGGATGGTAAATAATATTCCTTTTCCCGTAAATATTTTAATGAATTTAAATATTTTGTCTCCATTGCTTTTGCATCCTCCTCAGCAACTACGTTAAAATAGAGATTAGATATTAAATAAGTTGCAATGCTAGCCTTAGACAAAAAAAATATAAGCTATGAATACTTGAAGAGCTCAGTAGATAACAGTTCAATAATCGCTTCCATTATAGTTGCTATTAATGGTGATCAAAAGCATTGTTGAAAGTGATTAACCATTATAAAATATTGCTCTATCAATACAATATGGCATTTTGTAATGCACCTATATTAGTGCAGGAAGAACATTGATTTTTTTTACGTAGTCTCATATTATATTCATATTTTAATTCAGTATTACAGGAGATTTTTGTTAGCGTTTGAAAATACTACTTGAACAGCCTAAATAGCTTTCTTGCATTCTTTTTATTAACAGGATATAATTGATACTGGTAAAACAATGAAAACACTGCTGTCTTTGCTTAAGCAATATAACCCAAAGATGGTGAAAGTAGCCAGGTAAGTTCTAAGTATCACAACTTGTAGTATATTTTAATTTTAAAGAACTGTAAACATTATAAATTACACAGGTGTGTATATGTGTAAGCTCAAGCCATTTTTACAGTACTGTACTTGTTTGCTGTCTGCATTTCGTTGGTTATAAAATGTGTATTTATGTAGGCTGGCAAGAGCACATTTCATATTTTTGTACTTCTGTTACAGAAGGATTTCTATAGTCAGAAGGTGGGAGTCTGTGTATATGATTGGTACAAAGGTTTATATTCTTTGTGCTTTTCATTCTGAGATTTTTTTTTTCAAAGGCTTCCTTATGTGAAGCTCCTTTTCACCTGTAAAGTGAGATTTCTCTCTGAAGTCTGACTGGAGCTTACCAGTGTTTGAAATCCTTTCTATAAGAGATGGATTTTGAGGGGATTTGGGGTTTTGTTTTGGTTTGGTTTGGTTTTTTATTCATACAAATCTGTTTATACAGACACAGGTTTTCTGGGATCTTTTTTTCCCTGTTCAGCATTTGTAATTTATTGCCAGTATTTCCCTGAGCTAACTAGTCCAGCATGGCTTGCCTCTTCCACATGCACCGCTAATTCATACTAATTTGCACCAATGTATTAAACTGTTCTTATACACAAGTCTGCTCCTCCATGGATCAGGCTGCAACACCAGGGAAACAACTGGCAAATTCTCATGTTGCTATTGGCCTGGCATAGGTGGAAGGAGCCAGGATGTACCCACCACACTGTGAAGTTCCCTAGTTGGGAGTACTGCTGGGCTGATTGTTACTCTTTGCTAATTTTTTGTCGAATTATTTTATAACACTTAACAAAAAATATAAACCAGGACCAGCGATACTGAGGACAGTTTAACAGGACTAACTCATATTTGCCAAGAGTAATACTTCTTATATTCTTAATAACCTGTTCTCTTACACTGCCACACTGTGAACGTGATGTGCACTGCACAATGATGATGTATTGATTGATATGAATTATAGATAAACAGGGCTTGGAATTGCACCTAATCAGGTTTTGTTGCCATAATATTATCAAAACAGTTGCTAGGGGTGCCTTGAGCAGCTTTTTGCCAGTGATCTTGAGGTGACCTGTGGAAGGTGAGATTGTTGCAGACTCCTTGCTGAAGGTCTGGTAGCACACGGAGGAATTTGAAGAATGTTACAAAGGGTGACTTGTCATTGTAGCCCTTTGAAAAGGGCCCCTGCTGTTGCACTTTACATCATGCAAATAAAATAGAAAGTGCAAGTGAGAACTTTTTTGTTGCACTGAAAATGTGTTTAAGATCAAAGGAATGAGCATGAAAATCTTTGAGATGCTACAAGTGCAAAGAAGTTTTGCATTCTTATACTTGTAAAGACTTGCCTGGTTTTTCACTGCTGTGTGATGTAGCTTTAGCGGTGGAGTTCTGACTTGTACTAATGTAGGTTCTAGATGGTATGGTCATAACCCCAAACTGGTAATTGCCCCAACACAACGTCATCCAGTCAAAATTACCATAAACTCAAATGTCTGAAACTTAACAAACTGTGAAAACTGATGAGTGAACACCTACCTGAATAGTAAGTGCAGAAAAAAAAGATGAAGGTAAGGTTTGCCTAACCAGAGATTTATTTTGAAACAGCAGTTTTTGGTTAACTCCCATATGGATAGTCTTTTTTCATGGATAGATGTGGATCAGTCTAATTCAAAATGAGGCCCTCGGGTTCCAGAATAAGAGCATCCACACTGACCACGTCAGATTTTTCTCTCTCTCCCTGCCATCTTTCCGTAAGGGGATGATGCTATCTTACTGCATGTGTAAGGGAATACAGATATGACTGTAAAACGCTCACCAAAGGGCAAGGACCCCTGCAGTTCAGAGAGAGGACAGAAAGCTTTTTACAGTGCGTTTAAGAACCCAGATAGGTTGTCAGATTCCAGGCTCAGTTTGCAGATGTAGCTGAAAAAAACATTTCTTCTTTTAAATGAAGATACCTGAGGTTTCCAAATCAAATGTCACTTATTATGTCACTTTCCAGAATCATTTTTCACAAGAAGACTGCATTTAACTATAACGTCTGGGGGAATGTTTTAGTCTGTACCCCTTGTCCGTTAGCTAAACCAGTGGTTTTCAACTTTTTTAGTCTTAAGGCCCCCTCTATAAAATTTGTGAATTGAGTGGCACCCCTTTTAAACAATTAACTTATTTATTACAGTATTTACCTCCTTGCTGAGGGACTGGGCAGTGAGGGTGGGGGATCTGCCAGGCAGGGACTGAGCCTGAGCCTGCGCTTATTTTCTTATCTCCTTGCACTGGGCATATCTCCGCACACCTCGGGACACCCTTCAAAGGACGTTTTGTGGCACCGTTGGGTGCCCTGGCACCCTAGTTAAGCATCATTGAGCTAGACTGTCAGCTACTTACGAGTCAGGCAAAAGTCTTGACCCTGTCCTTGTGATCACTTGGGGAGAGGGTATGTGGGATAAATTTAGCTTGCCTTATTCTTCTTCACACTTAACCTCAGTTAAGTCCTAGTTTGACATCTTGTATCCGCTGCTTGTCTGTATTTCAATTTTATATTGGTGTTTTGACAGCTTGTTGGTGAAAAGAACTCCTCGAAGCGTGGGTTATCGGCCTGACTGTAAGTGATTTTTTTTTTTTTTTTTTTTTTTTTAACAGCAAACAACAAATATTTCAGTTTAAAATTTCGATGTGGGCTTGGACTAGAGTCTGAGAATGTTCCCTTTTCTCCTGATTATTCTTGGAGAACCTAGTGTTTTGAATGCACTAGAATACATGGTAGAGTTGGCCCTATTTGGACACATTTTGTGTATTAAGGTACAGTGTGGTTCTTTGAGTGATTGTCCACGTGGATTCCACTTCTGCGGCACTTCAGACCATTATACCTGGTGTTGAGGTTCTTTTGGTCAGCAGGGTCCACTGAGCCTTAAGTCCCTTTGTGCCCCCCTCTCTCTGAGGACATAAAAGGAACAGTGGACCACACACAAGAAGGACTCTATGGGTGTGAACAGATAGCACATCTGGCACAGGCCTGACCTTCTCTGTATGTGACCTGTGTCTAGCAAGAGCACACATCCTAGTGTGCCTCACTTGTCTAGTGTCCAGACGTTCCCTGGGATTTCTGCCCCAGTGCAGCAGAAAGCACCCCCTGGGTGGTTAGCTGGTGGGAGTGCCCAGTGTCTGGATGGGACTGCCTGTCTGTTCCACTGGTATCACTGCTACCATTACCACTGCTGGTGTGTTGCTACCACAGCTTCCCTTTGCTACCGCTGCGAGTATGCTGCTATCACCACGCCCCTAGAACAGACCCGCATGCGATCCTTGCCTTGCAGGCCATGGACACCATGTCGTGATTATGCAGTGAAGGGCCCAGTGGCAGTTCACATCTGCCAACTTGGCTTTGGCTGTCCATGAGATGAGTGAGGACGGGCATGTCACAGGGGAGGCAGCCGTGCACTTTCTGGATTCTGTAGAAAGACATGGTGCTATCTCATAGCACCGGAAAAGGCAGGGAGACTTGTTTGTCTCAAAAGGGCTTTATTGCAACAATTAGCGCACACACAAAGATGGCTAACAGCTTCCTGTTGTTGTCATGTCAGCTCAGGAAGGGAGTTAACCCTTACTGCTACAGACATGACCATGGATATGTCCAACAAACAAAAGATTCCTTGTTTGGGCCGAGCAAATGTCCCTTTTCCCGTGTTTTGAGAACCTGATTCCTGTTAAACTGAACTGTCTGCTTCCACTGAAGAAGCTGGAGTTATTTCTTGGTTGGCAATATCTGCTTACCACGGTTACATTATAGTCTCTCACCCTAATGTTGCTAGATTTCTTCATGTGTTTCACTCAGCCCAGGGTCCTGCTGTTTCCTAGGGTCACAGTACGGCCTGAGCTACATTAACAAGCCCTCCTGGCACAGGAGACAGTCAGGCACTTATGGCTAGTCCACCACTTACTGCATCCCAAGTGACTGAAATTTTTCCAGAAATAGACTCCAACTTTCATTTGAATCAGAAGTTGCATCTGTCTGTTTTTCCTTCCCAAGCCTTACTCCAGTCAAAAGGAAACAAACTGCACACCCTTGATGTGGTCGGGATCCTGTCATTTTGTTCAGACAGGGCAGAGTTATTCAGGAACTCCCTGAGACTGTTTGTAGTATTAGGTCAGGCAGCATGCATTGCAGGACTGTTCCACGATGATCTGTGACTTGGCTGAACTAAGATCTCTCCAGGCAGCTTCACTAGGAAGCACCCAGGTTTCTGATACCTCCAAGGTGTCTCCATAGAGCTCAGTCTGTGCTCGTACCCAGCACTGTTACCTTGTTGAGGCATCAACATCTGGCGCATGCTTCAGCGGTGTTGTCCTGTAGTCTTTTTTTTTTAATTCAGGTAAACTGTGATCAGGGCAACTGCCTCCTCCCGCCAGCAACAAGGCCATTGCTTGTGAATCGCCAGGAGTAGAATCCACATAAGCAGTCTCTGGCCAAGGAAGGAATGGTTATCCTCCATTCACTACAGCTCTTTTGAGATTTATTGTCCAGATGTATTCTCAGATCATCCTCCTAGCTCTTTACCACATAGTTCTGTAGCATCTGCATTCTGCACTGGGAAAGCAAGGGTAATCAAGCCTGGCTCCTGTTGCCCCTCTGGGTAGGGGGCTTTTAACAAGGAGACACTCTTGCATGCTTGGAACACGTTTACACCAAAAGTGGAATCCATGTGGACAGCATGCCCCCAAGAACCAGTTATTGCTGGATAAGTCACTCTTCCTTTGTGAATAAACCTTCAGATAAAACCTGAATTTAGATTCATAAGAACATTTTTAACTGAGGTTTTTCTTTGGATTAAATGTCTTTCTCCAGCATTAGGATGCTGTAATAGAATTGGAATATAGAACTAGCCTGTTTTCACTTTAGAAGATGAGTGAAACAAGTAAAGGAAATATGCTAGTTCTTGGAAGCACATTAGATTTTTTGAATAGTTTTGAATCTTATCTTGAATGGAATAAATCAAACCTTTTTTTAATGTAACATGACAGTATCTCATTTGTTTGGTTGTTTGTCTGACAAGCTGGTGAATTATGATCTTTTTCAGTTGTTGGATTTGAAGTGCCAGACAAGTTTGTTGTGGGATATGCCCTAGATTACAATGAATACTTTCGGGATTTGAATGTAAGTAATGGTTTTGTTTTTTAATCCTAGGGTGGAGGAGGAAGGCAAATTCAAATTTTTGCCTATGAAAACTTACACTCCAGTGCCAGCCTGTTCTGTTACCGATGATAGTGCCTAGGGAAAACCAGAACATCAAAACTGCTTTCCAGTGCAGTAGTCAGACTAACTTGGGCTCTGTGAAGAACACAGGTTGCCTAGCTGTGAAATATTGCAACAGCTTTGGTGAGAGGTTTCTTGCTCTCCCAGCTGTTTTACAAAGAATAAGTCTTACTGTTAGTTGTGGACGGGTCAGAGAAGAAAGATAATTTGGAATCGGAGTTAACTGTTAAGTTGCCTCTAATTCCTGAGTTTTATTCTATAGATGGTAGGCACTGGAATAAAGAGAGTTCAAACTGTGATGCAAAATAGACTTGAAAATTGCTTTCTATAAATCATCTTGTTAAATTACTGAGCAATAACTGCAACACTGAAACGTGCGGTGCGTTTTTTTCTCGGTGGAATCACAGCGTTGAATACACGTCTAAAGCTCCAGGTTCTTGGTCGTAGGCATTCGTTTTCTAACATGAGCTTATTTGTTTTGTTTCAGCATATTTGTGTGATTAGTGAGACGGGAAAACAGAAATACAAAGCATGAGACGCCGTGTTCAAGTGCTATGACAACAGAGCTTTGAAACATTTTGTTTACTGAGTCCTATCTTTCACAGGCTTCAACTCCGGTACACCAGCTAAAGCTATAGAACGAATGTTCCAGCCTCAGTGTCATATGCTTACTCTAACTTATTGCATGTACAATATAAGAATCTTGTCCTGTTCGTTTTTATTTTAGAAATGTCAAACAGTCAGTGCAGTTCTGCACTCCTTATTTTGATTTGCACTATCTACCGACTATCGCTGCCCCTGGATGGGTTCTGCTGTTTGTGAGCTCCAGAGTTTAACTCTTGACGTGGCAAATTGCTTAAACCTCATCAACCCAGAACTGAACTAGTTCTTGTACTGTAAATGTAAGACATTTTATGATAGGGAAGTCTATTAGAAATATTTAAAAAAAAAAAAAATCTGTAATTTAAGTTTTATATTTTAATTACTGCACAGAAGTGATTGTGATTATTGGATAGTTGCACCCTGGGGTGTTAGAAAATATGAGGAGCAGCCAATTACAGTATCTGTAATCTCCAAGGAGTTGACCACATCTCCTGGAGTTGCCTTATTGCTGGTAGAGGAAGGCTGAGTGAAAAATGTCATTTTTGGGCTGAAAGGAAGTGGAATAACAAACCAGAGTGTTTAAACATTAGTTTTAATTAGACTGCCCATTTCTTATAGATCGGTTGTTCTTTCAAATATTCATCAGGCAATGGAATTGCCTTCTAAAGATAAGCAATTGTAATATTTTACAGTTGTGAAAAAATATTGTAATGTTTGCTCTATATGGTCCACAAAACAAAGTATTTTAAATAAAGGCTGTCTCTTTAAAATAAATGGTATACACCTACAGCACTCATTCCATGTATTAAAGTGCTCTTGAAACATGCTTCTCACTAATGATATTTTATCATAACAGTCTTTCTAACAGTGAAGGCAGACTGTACATTTGGTGGCTTTACAGAGTTTTCAATTATATGCTATATATATCTATATATAAAATACTGGGTGAAAAATATGGAAACGCTTCTATGTTCTATACCAAACTAGATTTAAGAGAAAATGGTGTTTCAACACGGTTCCTTGTTCTGCTTTAGCAAAGTAAAGAGTGAAAATAAATGTTCATTAAAAACACCAACTGAAAAAAAACCATTTTGTGAGTGATCTTTTGCTTCGTATGTCATTTTGTTGAGTTATCTATGTGTTTTGTCGATATCTTGAGAAATGCAGGAATTCTTCTACCTTACTCCAGAGTCTGCCTTTCTGCTATGTTTTTCAGTCTCTTGACTTTCACAGTTCTTGTACAATGTATGTAGACTATCACATTGCATGGACTTTACGAGGTTCAGTGCATAATATGTAACGTTCGTTTCTTGCCAGGCAAGCTCGTTTAAATTTATTTGCATGTTTTGGAGAGAGGTTTTCCCTTTTGACATTTACTTGTGTTTCCATATTTTTCCCCAGTACTTCACTTCCTCCGAAATGTAATGTCCATGCATAGTGTGTTCTGCTACAGGTGTACTAGTTAATTGGCATAACTAAAACATGTATCATCTACCAAATGAAGCTTACACGTAAATCATAATCAGTAGATGATCTTTTGTAAACCTCAGGTATCACTTAATGAATATTATAGTATGAGCTGTATGCAACTAAATGGTGCTTTATGTTGTCCAAGCGATAACAGTTTTATAGTTAACTTTCCAAAGTGTTCCTCTAGGTCTGCTATGCAGAAGGTGACTATATACCATTTTGCTGTAGATTATAAAATGGTGTCTGCATATTCTGTCCTTAGTCCAGGGCAGAAATTGGCCGTTGGAATTTACCTTTGGGCATAGATGGTACGTTCTGCAGTTCTGGAAAAGCACAAGAGAAGCAAAATAAATATTTCAGCAGATACATTGATAAAACCTCGCAACTTATTGCACTTGTAAGGTCCCGGTTTAGTGCAAACTGAATGTAAGGTATGAGCCTTGAGAATACTTAGCCGCCTCCATTCCCCTTGATTGAATAATAGTTCCCTGCTTCACAGTGGGGCTCTGAGCATACATCTATTAACGTGTTTGAGGCATTTGGTGACTACAGTGATAGCGAGGGGCAGAGGAGAACCTGCCGAGATAAAGCACGAGAAAGAAGAGGTGAGGGTATTCAGCAGGCTGTATAGGATTAGGTCATAAAGCAGCTTGCCCCAAAATATTCTCCAGTCTCTACAGATTTGTGTACGTTCTCCACGGCTCTGGTATTTGAAATGCCTCCGAAACAGCAATGGATTTATCTGTAGTACCTTTGAGAAAAGTAGAGATATTATCCCCATTTTACAAGTAGGGAATGGAGCTGTGTGGAGATTGTCATCTGCTCATGGCCATGAAGGAATTCTGGCAAAGTCGGAAATGGACTCAGGACCTTGAGTCTCATGACATTGTCCTAACTACTTGATCGGCCTTCCATTCTCCTGTAGGGCCTTCGTCACAGGGCCTTCAGATTTTAATTCATTTAGCTTTGTGTGTGGACTGATTGGCCATTACATTTGTGAAACTCTTACTTCAAAGCTTGTTTTTACAGAATTTGAAATACTAAAAAATGAGATTTTTTTTTTTGTACTGTGTATATAAAATCTTGTATACGGCATAGATGAAAACTTGTTTATCCTCCCTAAGTGCTGCTCTGATTGAAAACTTTATCTCCTTTATTTTTATTAAAAGATACCGTTCAGTACAAGAAACTTCCCCAGCAGCTTACCCTAACTAGAACAGTTCAGACTTACCGCAGTTCAGGATTTTTAAAACAATACATGTATCACGTTGAAATAAATTACTTATTCCTAACCTAAAAACAAATGGAAAATACTTAACTTCATAGTCTTAGTATAAAGGATTTTTTTAGTTTTGTCTCCAACTTAAATACACACCTTCTGTATCCCAAATATAGGCTGCTGAAACATTCAGAAGTATACAGAAAAACGTCATGTCTAAACATTCATTTAATTTGAAATTGAGTATGGTTCCAGATTTTATGAAGCCTAAATGTATACCATGAAAGGATGATTGGTTTTGAATGCCAACAGGCTTTCACATGTAATCTCCTCTGCATCAGTAATTTAGTGAGCTTTACATTCATAATTTGAGTCATGGGGAAGTTATTTTGCTGCTTTAACACCACAGATGTACATTTCTACGGCATGGAGTTTTTGTTCTTTTTATGCTGGGTTCATTTCTTGGTTATAAGTGAAAATATTGTAGAGGAAGATTTGTGGCTTGACCAAATACCTTTCCAAAGATTCAGTGCAGTTTGGTTACGGGGGTCTTTTATAAATTATTATGATAGAAGAAATCCTTGGGGATCCAGAGGAACAAAAACATTCATGTTGCCTTGCGATCCTACAGCTTAACTGATTAACTCCACAGCCCTTGCGTTTCAGCCTCTGCTCTGTGTCGAGTCACTAGTGCAGACCTGAGGAGATGCAGGTGTAGTAAGGTGTTACAGGATGATCCAGGGGCTGATTCTGCATTCCCGTTCCAGTGGCATCTTGCAAGCTCGGGCCTTGAAGGTGTTCCACGTGCTCTCTGAGTGAAAGGAGAGGACATGTATGTCCTTAGGTGGTGATGCAATTTTTCGCCTCTGTATATGAATTAACCTTAGGAGGGTTTGAATTTGTTTCAGAAGCAAAATGCAGGTTTGAGAACCACTTCTGTTTGCAAAATAATTTCCAGACTCTGTAAAGATGCTGGCATGCGGCTGGGTCCCAGACCTGAAAGAGACAACTCTGGGAGAGGCAGAAGCTGTGTGAAGACTGGGGAGGGAAACGGGCAGGTGAAGAGACAAAGGTGAGGTTTTCTTTTTGTTTTTTTAATGGGGAAGGTGCTTTTAGGGAGGGAACAAACTAACAGGAATCAAGTAACAGAGCTGTCTGATGTCACTTGGGCTGGTGCCCAGCTGGACCAGAGCTGATTTGGATTGCTACAAACTCTTCAGGGCAGACATGCTTTTGTTACGCTTCATCCTCTTCTCAGTTCATCAGATGCTGAGGCTTTAAAACATCTCTGAATCACATTAAAACAAGCAGGGCAGACAGCAGACCTCAGGTCCATCATGCTGTGTTAGTCCAGATGTAAATGCATCTACCCTGTCCTCAATAATCAGCATTTAACTAACATCACTGGTTGTTGCAGAGGAAATTTGGTGTCTTCAACCAGTCAATTCACCTGCCAGTGGCTTTTTAAGAATCTTCAATTTGCCTACAGTGAGTTGTTCAGTACAGGATTCAGGGTTCGAGGTCTCTTCCATGCAGTATGTGTATGTGAGTAAGGGTCGGGGGGAGGGTTTTGGTGACTACAGTGATAGCAAGGGGTGGAGGAGACTGCCGAGATAAAGCACGAGAAAGAAGAGGTGAGGGTAGTCAGCTCGCTGTGTAGGATTGGGCTATAAAGCAGCTTGCCTCCAAATATTCTCCAGTCTCTACAGATTTGAGTAGGTTCTCCACGGCTCTGGTATTTGAGTTCCTCCCAAACAGCAATAGATTTATCTTCAATACCCTGCACTTTCACAAGTGCAGCCAGAAAAATAATAAATAGCAAATGTTCTCTTGGTTCTATATGTAGGTCTACCTGTATTGCCAACCCTAAGCACACCTGTCTATGGAAATTTGGCTGTGTGGCCAGATAGTTCCTCTGGCATCCATCACCCAGTTTATACCACCTGAAATCGCATTGACTTCGATGGAAATGAAAACACGATATAAATCAGAGCAGGATTTGGCCCAAACAATTGTAAACTCGCTATATTAGCGGTAACATGGTAAACCAAAGTCACCTGGAGTTGGCACCCTCCCAACATACTTATTTCTGTTTGCTTAATCCAGGGGATGTTCAAATGCCTGTGTTACTGCGTGGGTGCAGTCGTTGCCGGTGCAGTCGCTGCATTTTGCAGAGAACATCGCCCTCTGCTGAACGCTGCCTGTTGGAGACGTGGTCGAGCTGGATGGGCAAAAGCCTTTGGGCAGGATTTTCACGAGTGCTCCGTGTTGGCCCAGCTGCACTTCTGCTGAATTCGAGAGACAATTCCCAGTGACTTCAGGAGGAAGAGGGTTAGGGTTATTGGCAGGCTGAGCACTTTGGGAAAGCCCAAACGGCCTGGGGGCAAAATGGGTGCTGTCACGGAGCCGCGGATAGAGACACTGGAGAGGATTCCCTGGCTCCGCAAAGGTTGACCCCGGGATTTTCCTAGGGCTGGGTGGCAGTCCGAAAACAGAGTGAGGATTGTGTCGGTTCTGTGTTACCGAATTCTGGTGTCAAAGCATTTGATCACTTTTTCTTTCCATGTGTAGTAAACCCTTCTGTTCTCTCTGTTGTTTGACTTAAATGCCTGGGGTAAATTGCAGGGGTTTGGGTTGTAGCCGTGTTGGTCTAAGGACATAGGCAGACAAGGTTCCTTGGGTGAATTTGATCTTTTATTTCTGGGCAAAATCATAAGCTCTGCATACTCATTCAGCAGGGAGGGAGGCCCATAAGCTTGCACACACCTGGGGGAGGGTCTCTGGGACCATCCTGACACCCCAGGGTTTTGTCCCAGACACCATATCCCTTCCAAGGAATTATTTTCACTTACAGAAGAGCAGCAAAAGCCAGATCTTCAGCATCATTCAGTCTTTTTTTTTCCAATTTGTGACCCAATCACTTGATTTCTGAAGTTTCCAACAAATAAGCAGCACTAAGGTGTGCTAACCCTCACAGAGGGAGGCACCTTTGAAAAATGGTCCTTGCATTTATCACAGGTTTTTCCTTTCTCTTGGTTTCTTGCTCCTCTCTTCTTTCTTCCCACTCCCAGAAACAGGCAAAAATATTCTAACCAGAGGCATTTGACCAGAAAAATAATTTCATATTAGGAAGGTCACATATTGGATGATGTAACTTTCCAGGTTCATGGCAGTATAACCTAGTTGGCTTTCTTGCTTGCTATGAATTACAAACTACTTGGCCAATGGGCATCTTGCATCTGGCTTCCTTCCCCTCATCTCTGACACGTCTCCTGTTGTGCACTCAAGGAAAAATGCTTTCCTATGAGAGGTAAGGATGTGTTTTTGCTCGTGCACAATGTAAAGTGAGACCTTGGCCTCTATCAGATGGCTAACATGAGAAAAACCTACGTGGAGTTTTTATTTGGAGCGATGCTCTGAGGCTGATGCCCTCCGTTGTTTGACGGGAATCCCACCTGTGTTCAGGAAGGGGGTTGCGTGAAATAAATGCAGCTGCCGCTTTTGTGATGGTTGGCAGGAACTCGCTTTTCAATTAACAAAAAAAAATGTTTAAAATTGTCTTTTTCTCCCATCACAGCGAGTTCCTTTTCCAGAACCACTGAGGCACCGCTTCATTGGGGAGCTCGGTTGTCATTTTGTTTGCTGCAGCAGGCTTTGCTGGATCATCCCTTGCTGCGACTTGGATTTTGTTCTCCCTGGTGGCTGCATACCTTCCACATCTTCAGCCAAAGCCGGGATGATATTATCTCGCCCCGCTTTGCACCTCTCCCAGCTTCACAGCATAGACACTATCATCCCGTCTGGAGACAATTGGAGCGGATGCCTGCTTGGCGTCCGCTCAAGTCACCACCTCATGTAGTCAGAGGAAACGCTGTTGATGAAAGGAGGCACTTCCTGCCTCCACACCCTCTGCCCAGGACTTTCATCAGTGCTCCCAGCACGGCGAGGCATAAAATCTGAATTACTTATGTGTATTACCCTAGTGCCTGGGAGCCCCAGTCATGGCCCAGGATGCCATGGCAGTAGGTTCTGCATAACCAGCAAATGCAAAGTCCCTGTTGCAAGGTGCTTACAGTCTGCATGATGAGATAAAGCAACTGAAACAGAGTACAAGTGAGCTTTGGCCATTCAAGTCCCCATAACGGGCTGTGGTCTGTGTGTGAGCTGACTTTGTAGAGAAAAAGTCAAAGGCCAGCTCTAAGGAAAGAGCTGAAATAAGACAAGGTTGCTTGATGAATATTTACAACGTGCTCTTCCCAAGTGCAAAAGCAGTATAGGAGAGCCCGGAGCACCTGGCCAGGGAAGAGAGGCAGCGGGTGCTATTAATGTGAACACAAAATATTGGTATTAGTGCATGCCTGCCTGAGTCTTTGGACTGAAGGAAATCAAAAAGTAGAAGGGAACGGTTGATTTGTCTGAGCTAGACCTTGTCTTCCAAACCCACCCGCTATAAACCCCTTCAGCGACTGATCAAACTCTTCAAAAGTGGCCGAGAATCTGGTCTGCAATTGGGACGCTCTCCTACAGCCCCATTACTGCAGTGGCTGGGATCCTCCCAATTTCCTGCCTAAATTAATTCATAGCCAGCTTAGACCATCGGCCAACATTATTGTTTAGCTTCAATAGTTCTTTTCTCTCTGTGACGTGCACGTCTTTAATGTATTTACAGGCTGCAATCCTAACTGGTAGCAGTTTTTGTTTTGTGAGTCCAGACTTGGGCTCTACTCATCTTTCTGGAGCACTGTAAAACCTTCTTATGTGGGCAGGCGTTTGGCAAACAGCACTAGGCTAAGACATTGTTTAGGGGGTCTCTTCCACGCTGGTACTCTAGTTCCCTTTTACGATGTTCTGCTTATAAGTGATTCTGCTCTCTTACTATAAGCTGTCCTGAACCCTCATTGAAGAGGGTGTCATAGAAATGGAATAAATAAGCCAAGCTCTGCTTGTCTCCCGTTGCAAAATCACCCTATGGATCCCTCTGCACCTCTTCCAGCCTGGGTTCAGCTTTCCAACGTGGCTGATTTCTCACGCCGCACCGTATCACTTCTTTAGTGAAAAACCTCTCCGCTGGAGTTATCAAACGTGTCTTCGAAGAGACAGAACCATGGCTCCCAACACATCAATATGTGTCTGTTTATTTACACCATATTATTTTGTTAAATATTCTTTTAAATGTGCCACGGGCAAATATGTTCCCTATGTTTAAGCAGGGTGGGTGTGCTTTCTCTCATTTTTTCTATCGGCTGCATGTATTCACTGAGATTGTTGCTTTATTCCCCCCCTCTCAGTTGAAGTGTAACATCTCATAACCAGGGGACCTCCGATTTAAAAAATCCCCAATTTTCAGTTTTAAAAGAAGTAACCCCACATCCACACTTTTCCATGACTGAAATGAAACACCACTAAGATAGATATAGATATCATATAGCTAGTAGCTAGCTAACTATATGATAGATATCCATCTATTTATATGATATATCTATATATCTGTATATAGTGGTGTATACCTATACATTATATATCTATATAATATAGATAGATATAGCGGTGTTTCCTTTTAATCATAGAATCAGTATATCTTTCTATAAATGGTATTTCATTTAATCATGGAAAAATGTCTATTTGGGGTTGCTTTTTTTTAACTGAAAATTGGGGATTTTCTTAAATCAGAGAAAACCAGGATTCTTGCTCATAACAACCCATGTCAGGAGGTGCATATCCTGTGGCAGAGAACAGATGCTGAAGGGGAGGGTAATCTGTTCTATTCTGGGTCTTTTGCTGCATAACTTCTAGGCTCCACGGTACCACCTTTTTCATATGAATATCTCTTTACAACTATAAAACAAGGTGGTACAGTTTGATTAGGCTCAGAAAAGCAACCGATTCTCTCCGTGTGTAAGACTGAGCCACGTGCTTTACTGAGAAGGTTTTGTTGTGGAACAACTGAAGCTGCGAGGGCTGGACTTGGACGTCTGTCTTGAACAAAATAGTCACGTTTTCACTGCTTATTGTTAGTAATGCTGTAAAAAAACGCTCTTAGACGGCAGATTTGGGAAGGGGGGCCGGCGGTCTGGAACCTCTTTCGACTCACCCACCGAACACGTCTCATATGAAGTAAGTGAGGAAAGAAGCACAGAATTCAGAATTACTGAATGACTCTATCGCTCCTCTGATTAATTCCACTTTACATTTTTCACTAAAAATCGTTATTCAATGACCGCCGCTGAAATGCCCATGAATATGAAATGACTATTTTTTACAGAGTGAGTAGGAAATATTTTATGTGACTAGGGTCCTCAGTTTGCACATGCAAGTGAAACAAAATCCAGTTATCCGCCTGGCTTGCTGCTTCGGTCAAGGAGTTAGATGGTCAACTACTGGAATTTGTGCCCATGCAGACCTGCGGGCACGAGACTGCCCGCATCAAGGAGGGTCTCTATTTCAAATCAAGTCTCAATTGCGAACACATACTTAGGTTTTCCAGCTGTACGGATTTTACGCTGTTACTCATTTACTCCCGTAAAGAGAAAGAGTAAGAGTGAAAGTGTAACGCTCACAAAAGAGTGTATTAAATCAAGGCTTTTTTTTCCCCCTTAGGGTTTACAAAGCCTTGTTTTCCGCCACTGAACATGATTTTTTTAAGTCGAAAGCTTTAAAAAGTGTGAAGCCAGTAACTTGCAGGCGTGTTTAAATAGTGGATGCAGCATTGTGTTCTGCTTGCTGATGTTACGCTGCACCGAACAGAAAGGCAATGTCAGCTCCTCCAGGAATGTTATGTAGGGCTATCTAAAGGTTATTACACCATGGGTCAGATCCTGCTGCCCTTCCTATGCAGGCAAGCTTGTTGAATTCTGCCCCGTATACAAAGCGCAGGATTTGTTCTCCATATCTTCATGGGACAGCACCTCTGCTGTGAATTCACCATCAGAAACTACTTCCAAATTTTGAGTTCACGTCCAAAACTGGACTCGTTGCCCCATGGTACCAGCTGTGCCTCCCAGCACCTCATTTCACCTTTTAAAATACAGTATGTTGAATCCGAAAACGATGCTTCTTCACCTGTAACGGTGCCTGCTGCAGGCTGTGCTTTTTGCTTTGAATTCATTCCTGCTTTCTACAAAATCTCCCAATGCCATCGCAGATCCAGACTCGGTATGGTGCGGCCAGTGCCGTGAAAAGAGGAAGAAAAGTCAAGCTTTTGCTGTCATATGAAAGCTCTGGAAACTAGGCGTTGTCGTACAGCAGTTCCCCAGGCTCGGAGCGGGTGTCATGATCAGGTGCTGATCCCAGCTGCCGGCTGGGTCTCGCTCCATCTGTCTTTCCTCCTCTTGCAATCCTGTCCTCCGGCACCTTGTCCCCCCGTTTTCCACGGCCCCACGCCCTCTGTGCTGTCCCGTCCTCGTGCATTTTCTCCCGTGTCCAAGCCACCACCTCTTCCAAGCTCATGCACTGCTTCAACCATCACGTCTTCATCCCTCTTTCGTTAAAACTCAAGGCTCGGATCCCTGTCCTTCGCCTAGGGCCAATTCAGTCCCACTCCACCCGTCTTCCACCTCTGCAGGCTGCAACCTCGGTGATTTTTCTCCAGCCCTTCCTTGCTCCTGATCCCCCAGCCAAGATATTTAAGCCCACCATTTAGCTCATCTCCTCCTCTTCACTCTTCCACCTGAATTATTAATCAGGTCATGTCATTAGTGAGAGATGCTTTTTAGACTACATCTTTGCCCCAAGCCTAAACTGGAGGGAGGGTGTGGAAATTTTCATTTCCAAAGCGATTTCCTAGCAGAAGTAGACCCGTGCTGGTGAGCAAAATAAATGCAATCTTAGGGGCTTTTAACAAAGCAAGCAGGGCTGAAAGGTAAGAGGATGGGGAAAGCACCACGACTTTCTTTGAGTTGGAGGAGTTGGAGTAACTTCGCCTTTTCAGCACCGAGCCCTGTTGTGATCCTTTACGCTCATTTTCAGCCTTACATCCACTAAAAACCCGACTCGCAGCCCTTGCTTAGCCTCCCCTCCCGAGCATCCCAGGCAACTCGAGCCGACCAGACCGTGAAACCCGGGCTGGGGGTGCAGCACTTGGGAGCAGGAGGCGACGTTTCCGTGCGCAGAATTCACGGCTCGGTGCCGTGCTCGCTTCACCCCCCGGCTGCACCGGGTTTCCCGGGGCTCGTGGAGGGCCT